AATTCGAAGATATATATGGTGTGCCAACTTCACGTTTATTCATCATATATTTCAATTAGACCCGGTTTGAATTTTAATATTTTTCGATATAACTCTTAATATGCTTCAAAACGAAAAAAAAAAATGAAAAAAATTAAATTTCTAAAAAAAAATTCTATTAAATAATAATCATATATTCATCCAAGAATTGAAGAAAATATGGCATTCATTTTAATATCAAAAGAGGCATCAATAATTCTTAAGTATCGACTCTATTTATCAATATTATTTCAAGCGTAAAGATAACGTGTTGTAGTTTAGATTACATATGTTTTCAAGATATTGTATGAATTATGATCAGTAAAAGGTTTTATTCGCGGATAAGAATCGACTTGTCGTATGGATTATCATTATAAATCGATGTCGTAAATGGATTATCATTATAAATCGATTCGAATCGAGCATTCGAAACCGAGCGATGATTATTTATATCAGGCGATAACGATCACAATAAGATATTGTATGAATTATGATCAGTAAAAAGATTTTATTCGCGGATAAGAATCTACTTGTCGTATGGATTATCATTATAAATCGATGTCGTAAATGGATTATCATTATAAATCGATTCGAATCGAGCATTCGAAACCGAGCGATGATTATTTATATCAGGCGATAACGATCACAATTCTTAATATATACATAGCAACGATAAGTGCGTATACGATAACTCGCTAAATCCATCGTCGGCGATCATAGGAAATGAGGCAAAGATTACGATAATATAAATTATAAATTAATCGATCATCAATTAATTATAGTCATTCGTAAGTATATTATAAAACATAATTTCTACGTAATATTAATACAATCAATTTTTGCAATGGCAAGTATTTTGTAAATTTATTTCCCATATCACAGTAAACCAGAGATTGAAATTGATTTAATTATACAATATAGAGTTAATATTTTTTAAATTTTATAATATGTGTTTATAATATGTGTTTATAATATGTATATTTCAGAATCGCTGCACAGATATGTGCAAAATAATGAAGTTCCAAAAAGAAGTTCCTTATTTACTAGGAAATTTTCACACGCGATTTTTCTTTTATATAATTTGGTGCTTGTTAGTAGGTATGTCACTGCTGCGAGTTGTGCAATTTAAAGCGCAAATTGCCGGTCTTTATTTCAAATATCCAAATTGTTTCTATTTAATGTGAAACAAAATGCCAGTTATAAATGACGAACGCGAACTACGCATATCGAAAAAATCCCAAAAGTCGGTATATTCGCGCAATAATCTATCTCATAAAAAGGTGCAATCTAGTGATTATAATTCACATTGGAGCATTGATATTGGTGACGATAATTACGCGGATATAAACTTGCATCTTTTTTCGAATGCAAATTTCAATTTCAAATCAGTCGCCAGTAGTCGATTGCGCGACGATTGCCGCTCCCTTTGCAGTTAAATGTAACGCCTAACGGAAGGATAGCGATTATGATGAAAAATTCATCAGGTACCGTATAAGTAATATATCGGGGCAACTCGCGAGATAACGTGCCCGTGTAACTCGTTCTGCGATGTACGATTGGCATTCGATCTATCGTGCGGTCGTCTTTATTTCCTGAGCACTCAAAAATTCTATTCGCAAACTATTTAGTTTTAACCCTTTCACCTAACGACCTAACGCATCTTATAACGTGTTTTCAAAAATTATTTAAATTTAATGAAATTTATGTTCTCTCTCGATATGTACGTGAATTTTTATTCTTTTTATTATAAATGCTATATAGATATATTTCTCCAATTCTATACATAAAATCAAACGTTATTGTTATCGAATAGAAGAAAGAATATTAAATCTGAAAAGATTAATAAAATATAAATATCATTGATAATTTTTAATGATCCTGTATTATTAACGAAAATTATTAAATACCTATTAAAATATCTAAAATTATTCAACACAATATCATCAATCCATTCTTTAACAGATCAGGAATTGCTAATCAGGAAAATTCAATCGGAACAGATTCACGCGCATCGAACAATTTATGAAACGTACGCGCGAAGCGGGGATATTATTATTACAGTGTGCAAAGCGAGACGAGTAGCATCCACGATTTATAGCACTTGTTGCCGTTATGTACCGCGGATTGGATATAGAAATAGATTATTGTGCGCGATAAAGAGTGACGTGTTGGGGATAAAGGCAGAAAGAGGGGGAAGAAGAGAGAAGGACGTACTGCGAAACGTCTTCTGTTAAGAGGCCTCAAGGCGTGGGTCGTTTTATCGCTCCGGGGCCCTCCGGTTCTACAGGCCCAGCCTATCGAGATGGTACGGAGCTTGATACAGCGTGGCGATAAACAAAATTAAAGGCGAATATTCCCCCATTCCACCCTCCCTCCCCTTGAATCGATCAAATTTTCTAAATGTCGAAAAGCGCGCGTGTCGGATGAACGAAAAGCCGCGGCATCCGTTGGGATAAATAGAAAAATGAAAGTTTCGTTTGAACGACACGCGCTGTTTCACACTCGTTACTTCTTCTTCGTTTCTCGTTCTTTTGCAATTTTCTCGTTTTATTCGCAATCACCTTATTTTTAAATACAAAGATGTAAACTTATTGCTAGCGTACCACGCACTTTCTATAATATGTTGAATCGACATCGCATAAAACGTAGATGTATAAAGCTATCTAAAGCCAAATTATCAGAATATAATAAATTTTATATATGAAATTAATTTATTAATTTTGTATATATTTTTTATATATAACTATTGTGCAATTATACCAGCAATAATTTCTTTAATTAATGCGCTTTATTCCTGAGCGCCGCGTTTTGTTTTTGGTATCTTCTTAAAAGTTGGAGCAAAAAAAAAAAATATTTCTGGAAGTAAAAAGTGGTAAAAAATAGGAAAAAATTTTAGTATTATTAATTTTTTGCATTAACTTACATATATGCTATTTTTTATAATGGCTTGGTAGCTCAATCTTAAGCTATCTAGCCCTTCATAAATTTTTAATAATTGAAGCAAAAATATTATTTTTTAAAGCAAAAAATTAGCGAATTAATTCCATATATAATTTATTATGTTCTGATAATTTGACTTATTGTTAAATAGCTTAATGTACAACGTAGTTGTACATAAAACTACTGTAAAACGTAAAGAATCGAGACAGCAGGTTTTTTTTTCTTTTCCGTCCTTTACTATATCTTTTCTGGAGACAAATGCATAGTCGATAACGAATCTATCTCTTTAAGTCTGTATCGTTTATCAAGCTGCCACGCACGTGCGATTCTTGGATTCGCGAAGATCGCATTACATATTTAAGAGCGCGTCTCTCAGGAGAAAACACGTGCGAGCATGTTCACGAATAGAGTTTCCGTTTCGAAATACTTCTGACCTAACCGTAAGCTAGGTAAGTGAAAGCAGTGCACTTGAGTGAAAGTCAAATTCACCGCGCCCGTCTCTCTCTCGGAACTTCTATAAGTGTCATTAATCGGTAGGATGAAGAAGTTAATGACAAAGCCAATGCCGCGCAAATCAACGCCGACGCAGATTTGAAAGCGAAAGGATCGCTCTTCTCGGTATTATATACGTAGTCCGTGCACGTTCCTTTTTCTATAATTTTATTCGAATAAGATCGCATGGTGTTAAAACGGAGGAATTAAAAAGAGATTGGAATATTTTTTTTAAAAAAAGAATATTTTTTACATGTACACACGCGAATTAGAATCGATTTTTCTTTAATTCTTCCAAGGAAAATTAATCTGAAATATCTTATGCTTTTTCTTAAATCATCGATCTCTAAAATATGTATACTTATTTCATAATATATACAGGGTGTCCCCAATTTAAATGTCAAAACTTTAGGAGCGTGTAGGGGACCGATAAACTAAGATCTAGTCTCTTAAAATATTTTTATAATGTTATTATTGTGTGTGTATGTGTAATGTGTGATCTCAAAGATAATTGATTATTTTTAGTTATTACGTGTGCGATATAAGCTAATTTAATATTTAAATAAAATCGATGAATGGCTAAACAACAACAGTAATAAAAAACTGTTATTGGCAATGCTACTTAGTTTAATAATGCGATAATTATTGTATTTTTATAACATATTACTACAGAAAACGGTAACTAATATACATAAAATTCTAGATTTTATATTGTGTGTGTCTAATAATAAATTATATATACGTATATAAATTATAATAATTCTCTCATAGATACATACATAAACATAGATATGTTTTTTTGTATCTAAAAAATTTGCGGCAACAGACTTGTAACTATATATATTAACTTATTAAGAAAAATTATGCTATTTTTTTTATCTATTTATGCCAATAAAATTTAATTTGCGAAAGATCTTTTATTTTCAATCGTTTGTAATTTAAAAAGCGTTAGTCTATCGAACAATATTTTTGTTAAGAAAAAAATGATTCCAAATTGATCGCAAAATTTATGAACAAAAAATAACTATGATGTGACGGATTAAAACTTAATGTAAATGTAAATATATCTAAATTATACGTACGACGCGAAAGGACGAAGCGCACTATCTGAGACATCCTATATAGAATTGAACACATCGTATCTACATCTGTTATTGAAATTAGATATGAAAAGATATTTTTGTGTAGAATTATCTAAATTTCACATCACGACCCGGCATGATACACTCGTGCATTCTCGGTGCGTGTCGCTGCGATCGGTTCACATTAACCGATACCCCGCCGTCGCATTCCACCTGTCAGAATCATAAGGTGGCTTCGCGTACATCACACATATAAAGAAAAAAAACGCGACGAGAGAACAGAGAGAAAAGAAAAAGAGAGAGAGAGAGAGGCAGAAATACGGAGGACGCGACGCCGGCCAGCCTCGAAAATTCTTGTCTCAATATGGCAGTGGCTCGCGCGCACGTATATATGTATACATACATGTACACATACATATATACACACTCATGCGCGGATTATATGTATTCGAATACAAATGTACTCACCGTTCTAACAGCCATCGTCCATCGGCCGGCCACGCCGCATTCTAGCTGCGGTTTTCTCGCGGTGGACGTAATCTGTCTGAAATCACTGGCGGTTCACCCGCGAAATCCTTCGAAGGCAGCTTCAGGCCGATGCCGATCCTTGTTCCGCGTTACCTTCGCTTCACGACCTGTCCCGCGCGTGTCAATAATTTCACGTAGCTTGCTCTGCTTTGTTTTCACAGCGTAAAGGGAGATCGTGATATATTATTGGAACACGCACTACGATCGCGAATCGCGCATGACGCGACGTCACGAATTAAAACTCAAGAATGTAAATTGTATGTACGTACGACGCGAAAGGACGAAGCGAGACCGATCACTCGAACCACCGACGCTCGCCACAACATAACTGGATGTCATTTGGTGGGGGAACTAAACCGTCGCGAACTTCATGACGCGAAGACGCGCAGGAGAGAAGGGGAAGGGCCGCGAAAGTAGGGGTAGGGCGTGGGACAGTAGAATTAAAGGGAGAGGGGAAAGACCTCTCACCAAAGTATGGAGGAAGAATAATCGAGTATATAAACAGAATTGTATTTATCCATTTCCGGCCAACATCGTAAAATTTATGCTCTCTCTCTCTCTCTCTCTCTCTCTCCCTCTCTCTCTCTCTCTCTCTCGCTCGCTCTCGCTCTCGCTCTCCTCCTCACTCTCTCCTTTTCTTGTTCTACAATAATAACTGTAAAAAATATTGTATAGTAATGTATTAATGTTATCTGGGTGTGTGGCATCTCGCGCGCGACTTTCTTTAAGACATAAATTATATACGAAAATATCGAAATGTTTGTTTAATCTATATCACTCTTTCTTCATGTTTTTTCGTATATTTGGCTTTGAACAACGGAAATATATATTTCCCATTATCAAAACATAGTTAACTACCATGTGTATGTAAATCTAAAGATGAAATATAAATATGTTGCTTCCACAGTTTCAAACTGTCAAACGGATTTTGCACGAATAAATTCAGAGCTTAGAATATATATATATATATATGCATTGGAAAGAATATAATTGTTCAATATATTCAATACTATGAGACGGAAGATGTAATCCTGTCTTCTTGCTACGTCTTACGAAAGTATAAATGATTTTGGAACATGACTATAAATATTTAAAGTTATAGAGTCATTAGATAAATAGATTATAAAAATCGATAGATATCCATTTTTACCTTATATCTTAGACACCATTGCATAATGGCAATATGTTGCTCATGTAATCGTACTTTTCAGTATACATATATACACTGTCTATAAACTCATTATCAGTTATAAGTATAGACGTAGGAAATATATAGAATGCGTATATCTTATATGTTATCTATTAGCAATTCGTGCGCCAAAATTAAAAAAAGAACGTCTCGAAATGTCTCGGAAATATATTTATCTCTTTTTAACTAGAAAGAAATTGTTCCCGTGGTAATTGTAGTTACAGACATGTGCGTTCTTTTTCTAATTTTGGCGAAACATTTGTTCGATACACGCAGTCTATATTTCATATATGTCTATGGTTATAAGATCGCGTGATTTCCGCTCTGATAAAAATATCGCAAGTTGACCTTTCATTTATCGAACGAGCGAGTCTTGAGTCTGATGAATGCTAAAATATCCGATTTCGTGAAATGTCGCCCTATCTCATTCGCTCTTATTCTTGTCTCATCTTCACCCGGATGAGCCGCTATGGAAGGTTTATGCAAAATTTATATAATAATTCTTGGAAGATATATATACATATATTATCTGTAACGATTCACGTACATGTCCCTCCCCCTCCCCCGCATCTGAAAGCGCGGTAAAAATTTCATTTTCGCGAAAATTAAAAAAAAAAATGTGAGGAGTGACATGTACGTGAATCGCTACAGATAAAATAGATTCTTGGAGAGCAAAAATAATAAAGCATCTTGAATAGTGTTTCCAATTATTAATTACTGATTAATTAATTTGTGTTAGACTTCTACGTGATTCATTAAGTTAATAATAGCGATTTTAAACTACTATTTTTTACAATGCCTACAACATACTAAAGCTTTTTTGCATGGGAATGCATCTACATTAATTATGACTAGTGCAATTTCCTTATTTGCATTTATAATGCATAATCTTTTTAATTTGTAGTGTGATGTTAGTGTCGCGCAGCAGGTGCAATTAAAAAATTCCAAGAAAAGTAGGAGGGCATTAAAAGCGGCGCCGACGTATAATAATGCATTGTGCAGCTTGAAGACTTTTTTTCGCAGAGCGTACAATTCACATTGTATTGTCTTTATATAACATTTAAAATTCTGAGCATATCTGTGAGCAACGTATATGCATTTGTGCGGAAAATATTGATCATTTTCTTTTTATTCATCTTTTATATTTAACTATTTTCAGATATTATTTTTGTGTATTTTGAAAATGATATTTAAAGATATTATTTATTTTTTTATATTCAGTAAAAAAAAAAAATACTTTTCATTAAATTTATTATTGTGGCCAGAAAATGAAAATTATGAAAATCGTCCGAAAAGTTTTTTAAAGTGCATTTTTTAAAAATAATTAGTTAATATACATATACAATTATAAATATATTATAGTACAATTATAAGAATTGCTCGGAAAAACCAAAATATATTATAAATGTAAATCTTATTAATTTTAAACATGCGTCATTATTCAATAGATTACGAGTCATAATTATAACATAAAAAATGTCAACTAAATTACAATTATATTTGAGCAAAAAAATATATGTCTGATTATATATTTAATCTAATATATCTAAAAATTACAAATACTACTATAATTTAATTGGTCTTGTAAAGTTTTCCAAAATATTCTACTTTTTCATGACAAACACATATATAACACATCGTATTAGTATTTTATTATGATAAACACAATCAGGATAAAAAACTACTATATTATTTATATATTTTTCTTATACTATATTTAGGATGAATTCTATTTGATGTTACAAACATTTTCCAATCGTTTGATTGATCTGCAAATGCACTCATGTGCATGTCAGTGCATGTGCGTATGGCATTTTACTTTCCACCTTCAGGCCGATATTACATTTGTCGTACGACAAACTTTTTAAGCATATTGATTGGCTGCAAAATAGAAACTTTCTTGAGTTTCTAGAAATTAGCTAATCAATGCGCTTAAAAAGTTTGGTCGTACGACAAATGTAATATCGGCCTCACTCCTTGTCCTTCCGACTGTGGTCGGAAGACGCTAGAAATGCTTCGAAGCTTTGATTGACCAATCAGAACAAAGAGAATAAAGATTTCTTTATTCTGATTGGTTAATGCAATGCTTCGAAGCATCTCTAGCGTCTTTCCGACCGCAGCCCTTGTCATGTGACCAACTTTGCCTCACTTGATTCGCCTCAATTCACTTATACGCGAGTTCGACAACACGTGGTATTGGAAATAACCTCGCTTTTTAAAGATAGAAGTATTATTATTTTTTTATTGCACCATATATACTTCGTCCCATTTGTGAAAGAAAATACATAAAAGGAGAGAAAAAAAATAATGGAGTTTGTGCATCTTGATAATTTGATAATGACGTTTGATAGACAAGAGGTATGAAAGTATTTTTTATAAGTTTTGCAAAAATATTTTGTATAGTTGTACAATTTGTCCAAATGTCCAAATGTTCACGTGTTATGTTCCAGATCGAGACAGTACAGCAGACAATTATAAAAAATATCAATTCTCATTTAAATCAAACACGATATTATGATGGTTTACTTATGCTAGATAGAATTCTGCCTACTTGTTCTAAGGATGTGTTATCCAAATATGGTTTATTCTGGATAACTAATGCTACTAAAGTAGTGGAAAACGTGCATAGTAGTACACAAGATTTAACACTGGCATGCAAAGTATTAGGATTTCTAATTGAACATTGCAAAAACATACCAGAATTACATAAACAGATTTCTACACGAAATGTAAAACAGATCATAAATACACTTAATGCTTTACAAAAAGATGCAAAATGTGGAGCAGTATATTACTTAATAGCCGTTTTGCTATATCACTATCCTGAAGTTTGCGAACGGTTTCAGGTAATAAAATGAATCAAAATTTAATTATTAGTTAAATATTTTATATTACATGTAAAATTTGTATATGAGCAAGATATCATTTTAATGTTTTCAGGAATTGATACAAAAAATGATATTACTACAAATTGACTCTACAGATGACAATTTAGTTAATGCAAGCGCAAAATGCTATGTTCTTCTCTCTAAAGCGACAGAACGTTCATTTAAACCATCAGAACCTACATTTATATATACCAGATTAATATATAATGAAATGTTGCTTTGTAATAGTTTACATGTTATACTGAATAAATTATTCTATCAATTATTAGAACTGGAAAGTATAGATATCCAGAATCAATTAGAATTACCACACATAACTGATAACATACATAACTACAACAAACAAAAACAGAGATTTTCAAATTTGTGTGTCTATCTCTCCTCAATGTTACGGTATTAATCTTAAATTTATATTACTAAATGATTATTTATATTTCAATTTATATTATCCTCTTTTAAATATGTGTTCATAGTTCTTGAGATACAGAATTGATTTATGATTGCAGTGGATATGAAGCAAGAAATAGTGTTTTGCCTCAGAATATTTTAAAGGTTTTGCATCGAGGATTGACGATTACACCATTAAATCTAAAGAATAAAACTTCTAGTGAACGAATGTTGTACATAATCTTACCAAAATTACATATCAGTTTACTCACAGTTCTTGATGCATTGATAAATGGGTACAAATGTTAATAAAATATGATACATCTATTGAATTAAACAATATGATTTATAACATAAAAATATGTTTTTCAGATTTGCACAGGAGTTAATACCATTTGGAGAAAAAATATTAGAATTACTCCAAGGAATATTGCAATGGACAAGCATTGACTTAGAAAATCAAATAACCTTTAGCAATAGTAAACAGAATAAAGATTTCTTTATTCTGATTGGTTAATGCAATGCTTCGAAGCATCTCTAGCGTCTTTCCGACCGCAGCCCTTGTCATGTGACCAACTTTGCCTCACTTGATTCGCCTCAATTCACTTATACGCGAGTTCGACAACACGTGGTATTGGAAATAACCTCGCTTTTTAAAGATAGAAGTATTATTATTTTTTTATTGCACCATATATACTTCGTCCCATTTGTGAAAGAAAATACATAAAAGGAGAGAAAAAAAATAATGGAGTTTGTGCATCTTGATAATGACGATCTGCCGTTTGATAGACAAGAGGTATGAAAGTATTTTTTATAAGTTTTGCAAAAATATTTTGTATAGTTGTACAATTTGTCCAAATGCTGTACGTTTCACGTGTTATGTTCCAGATCGAGACAGTACAGCAGACAATTATAAAAAATATCAATTCTCATTTAAATCAAACACGATATTATGATGGTTTACTTATGCTAGATAGAATTCTGCCTACTTGTTCTAAGGATGTGTTATCCAAATATGGTTTATTCTGGATAACTAATGCTACTAAAGTAGTGGAAAACGTGCATAGTAGTACACAAGATTTAACACTGGCATGCAAAGTATTAGGATTTCTAATTGAACATTGCAAAAACATACCAGAATTACATAAACAGATTTCTACACGAAATGTAAAACAGATCATAAATACACTTAATGCTTTACAAAAAGATGCAAAATGTGGAGCAGTATATTACTTAATAGCCGTTTTGCTATATCACTATCCTGAAGTTTGCGAACGGTTTCAGGTAATAAAATGAATCAAAATTTAATTATTAGTTAAATATTTTATATTACATGTAAAATTTGTATATGAGCAAGATATCATTTTAATGTTTTCAGGAATTGATACAAAAAATGATATTACTACAAATTGACTCTACAGATGACAATTTAGTTAATGCAAGCGCAAAATGCTATGTTCTTCTCTCTAAAGCGACAGAACGTTCATTTAAACCATCAGAACCTACATTTATATATACCAGATTAATATATAATGAAATGTTGCTTTGTAATAGTTTACATGTTATACTGAATAAATTATTCTATCAATTATTAGAACTGGAAAGTATAGATATCCAGAATCAATTAGAATTACCACACATAACTGATAACATACATAACTACAACAAACAAAAACAGAGATTTTCAAATTTGTGTGTCTATCTCTCCTCAATGTTACGGTATTAATCTTAAATTTATATTACTAAATGATTATTTATATTTCAATTTATATTATCCTCTTTTAAATATGTGTTCATAGTTCTTGAGATACAGAATTGATTTATGATTGCAGTGGATATGAAGCAAGAAATAGTGTTTTGCCTCAGAATATTTTAAAGGTTTTGCATCGAGGATTGACGATTACACCATTAAATCTAAAGAATAAAACTTCTAGTGAACGAATGTTGTACATAATCTTACCAAAATTACATATCAGTTTACTCACAGTTCTTGATGCATTGATAAATGGGTACAAATGTTAATAAAATATGATACATCTATTGAATTAAACAATATGATTTATAACATAAAAATATGTTTTTCAGATTTGCACAGGAGTTAATACCATTTGGAGAAAAAATATTAGAATTACTCCAAGGAATATTGCAATGGACAAGCATTGACTTAGAAAATCAAATAACCTTTAGCAATAGTAAACCTTTCAAAAGTTTAAAAATACAGGCTTACAAATGTCTCTGTTCTTGGCTTATGAATACCAGGTCATTGTCGGGTATAGAGACAATTGCAAACAAATGTGTTAGTTCCATATTGAAGGATATAATACCGGAACGAAATCGTATATTATTAACTGTAAGTATTTAAGATATAAATTAAACAATGTTTATGTTTATAAATCTAACTGATACATTAAAGAATAATTAGATAAATCTATATATTATTCATGAACTAAAAATTAACTATATAATATATATACATTCAGAAGCTATTTAATAAAAAAAAAAATTTACTTTATTCTGTTTAAGATGCCTCAAAAAACGCAGCATTCTAAACCGGCAATAAAACGTTTTAAACAGAGTCAGTATGAAAATAGCACAGTTATGAATAATGGAAAAGATTCTATTAAAAGTGGACGTTTAGACCCAGATTTGTGTAGAGAAGCCCTTATTACTTTGCAGAATATATTTTCCAGTGGTACCATACTATTGCAAGAAACGCTTTACATGGTAAATTTATCTGGATTCACTCTGCTACAACGAAACATTTTTATGATTCATAATATTTGAATATCTCTTTTTTTAGAACGTGCTGAACAATGTGATACCTTTATTAAACAACTTTTATTTGAGTTCTTCTGAACAAAGTTTTTATAAAGATAACAAATGCCGTTTGGAACTATTCAAAGTATTAAAAGCCTTGCAAATGAATCCACATATTAAATTAGGATTTCCCACAAACTATTGTCTAAATATATCAAATCTGGCAGCTCATGATATTGATGTAAACATTGTTCAAGAAGTAACACTTGCATTAGCTGAATCAGAAAAAATTATACATCCTGCTGCACCTACATTCCAATTACCTCGACAACAGTAAATATCACAAGTCTTATTTAACTTTATATGTTGTGTGTGTACATATAAGAGATAAATTTTATACAAAAATATATTATTAATTTGCAGGAAATCTGATAATGAATTTGTTTCTGAAAGTCAAGCAGAAGAAGTTGCTACTACTAGCAAATCAGACAAAAGAAGTCGGACTGAAGAAGAATTTTTCCAAAATGTAGATGCAACATTATCTGCATCTAAAAAGCCAAAAATAATTTCATCAAAATGTGTTGAAATAATACAAAATAGAAATGGTATCGAATTAATAGAAGTGAATAATAGCATATTGAATGTAGATAAATCTCAGATAAAGCAGAATTCATGTGAAGACATTATTAGCAAATTAAATGAAAATGATAGAACTGAAGAAGAGCTTTCAATAGATACAGATATGAATCATTCGAAAATATCATTTATTGAACAGCAAACTTGCAACCTGTTAAATACAATTACAACCTCAAAATGTACTGGAAAACTTTCGAGTGTAAATACTACAAAACCAATAGAAACGAATAATAGTATAATGGATGTAGATAAATCACAGGCAGATGAGAATTTATGCGAAGAAGAAGAAACTGAAAATATATTACAAGAACAATATAAAGTACATCATAATAAAAAGGAAAATCAGCATAATATTGATAAAATCATAAATTCCACTACTGAAAATAAAATAGAATGTGAATTAATTACACATGTTAATACGGAAGAGAAACAACTCAAAGAAAATTTAACATTGTGTACAAATAAAACAGATAAAGGAATAGAAGAGATGTCTTTTCAGAAATATCCCAAAACTGAAGAAGAAGTATGCATGGAGATGGATGATTCAAAAAATCAAAATGAATTGAGCATCAGTACACGAAATTCTCCAAACATATTTGAAGAAGAAGCAGGTTGGCATAGTTAGATTGATATGTCTTTTATTTGATATATTCTTTTACAATAAAAAGATATATATGTATAATATAAAAGAAATGCAGTACAAATTTAACCGGCGAATGGTATTCGTGGTATAGGTACCTTTGATAATAATTTGCCATTCGTTTTATGTTGTGTAATATTTTCTTTATTTGATTCTTCAGTATTCCGATTGGTTGATTTGTTTGCGACATTGAGGCCAGATTTGAGATCGGGGACAAATTCGTTCACCGTATCGATAGGTTCCTGAATTACAGATATCGTTCCTTTGGCACCTTGTTCTATTAATTGGAAAGGCACTTTGTATAAACTACACATAGGTGATTGTAATCGTTCTGGCACACCAGTCCACAATCCCATTTCGCAGTATCTAGAGCATTAATATATGGCAAACAGTTTAATAATGTATCATCATCAATGAATCATAAATGTAATCTCTAAATTTTTTGCGGCAATACCTAAAATTATTCATGCTTTTCGGATCCGTCCTGATACTAACGAAAGAATTAGTTTTATCTGAGAATCTTGGAATTATATCCGGCACCCAAGTACTGCCATTAGATTGTAATACATTTGTAGTAGGCACACTAAGAATGCCGCTTCGTGCGAAATTTGCTATCATCTCTGTGAAAATTTCGGTTACATTTTCATCCACTTCATCTGGTTCGTCGTTGTCACTTATTTTTTCGCCGGTAATTGTGTTTCGGTTGAATATGAATCCTAAATCGTCGCCATGATTCAAATCACCTATGAGATAGTTAATTATTTCAATATTATGTGTGTGTGTGTGTGTGTATGTGTGTGTGTGTGTATGTGTGTGTGTGTGTATGTGTGTGTGTGTGTATGTGTGTGTGTGTGTATGTGTGTGTGTGTGTATGTGTGTGTGTGTGTATGTGTGTGTGTGTGTATGTGTGTGTGTGTGTATGTGTGTGTGTGTGTATGTGTGTGTGTGTGTATGTGTGTGTGTGTGTATGTGTGTGTGTGTGTATGTGTGTGTGTGTGTATGTGTGTGTGTGTGTATGTGTGTGTGTGTGTATGTGTGTGTGTGTGTATGTGTGTGTGTGTGTATGTGTGTGTGTGTGTATGTGTGTGTGTGTGTATGTGTGTGTGTGTGTATGTGTGTGTGTGTGTGTGTAAAAGAAAAATTCAATAAGATTTATTTTATTGATTATCACATAAATTATACCATTCGATGATTGTTTGGCGTCAACGATTGGCAATCCGGCGAGAAAGTCTTTACCGTAATTTCTTTTTCCTTTATGGTCAAAAGTGTATAGAAACGCATTTGCCCTTTTGGACCAGTGATCGACAGTCAGAAATGCAGGAGCATTATAAAGTGAATCACCCAAAGCTTCCGCGACTCTACCGATTGTATTCTGCGTGTTATCACTTTCAAAGATGTTGAAATAGCCGCGGAAAGCTTGCGGGACAAAGCGCGATCCGTTTCGTATATTCGGAATAGTTCCTTGCAAATACGGTACGAAATCGTTAGTCAAATAATTCGGAACCATGTTTAGTTTATTTTGCACTTCATCTCTGTATTGACCGAAAACGGCACCTCCCGTTTCATCACTCATGACTCCAGTCAATAGCGGTATAGATGGAAAATTGCCAAGCCTCAAAGAATCCTTCGGCGATGTGGTCATAAAGTTTGGGAGCGACCTTAAAGGCACAATTAGGACAATGAGTGTGTAAATTAAAAGGAATTTGAAGAGTTTCTCTTGGCGAATTTCGCTATAATACCTTCCATCATCAGAACCTTCTACGACGGGACCGGATCCGAGTAGATTGGATAAACTGGAGACGAAACCTCGTGCGGCCGCTCGAATGTTTTCTAACTCGGAATCGACTCTGATCAATTTCTCTATTGGCAATTCTCGCAGACAGTACACCATTTTTCGAGTATCATTCGTTGGACAGCCATTCTTGTGCGCTATATATCTGGCTGTCTCGGAAGGGTCCTTGTCGACAGCGAAGTGAGATAAAATGGAACCGGACATAGCGATCAAACCGCTGAAACTATCTGTAACAGGATGTAATAATTCTCTTTCGTTGGTAAAAAAATACATTTGTTCGTAAAAAAATGCGCGATAAATAATATATGTATATATAGTGGCCAACATATTACTTTCACAGAATTTTGACAACGATAGCATCATGGCAGAACTGGCACCGGTACCGTGACCGAAGGCTACTATTTTCTTCGGATTACCGCCGAAAAAGTGTATGTAATCCTTCACCCAATCGATGGCTAGTATCATATCAAACATCCCGTTGTTTCCCGACATTTCCGGCGTACCTGTACTCAAAAAACCTGGGAAAGATTTCAACAGATTTCTTATTTTCTTTCCTTGCTATATTTTATATCAAAATTACATCTACCTCTCAGAGTGTTTTTTTTTTAATTACCTAACGTCCCCAATCTATATTGAATAGACACCACGACCACTCTCTTTTTGATTAAATGTTTCATTTCATACTGACATGCTGCACCCCTTCTAAAACCACCTCCATGAATCCATATCAGTACAGGATAACCATCACTGATATCCGGAAGTGATGGCGTGAAAACGTTTAGAAAAAGACAATCTTCGCTTCCTATAATTCTGTTGGTTCCATCAGAGCTGGGCTGAGGACAAGGAGGTCCCCAAGTAGTGGCATTATATTCTCCTTCGAGATGTACGGGCGAAGCTCGCTGTAAATTTATTTTTCTTGCAATATAAATATGCTATTTTAATTACAACAACTCTATTATTTTATGTTTCAAAGAAAGAGCAAAAATTGTTGGCGTACTGTTAAAATTAGTCAATTTTAGTCATAATTATTAATATGAACATATAATTAATATTATATAATAGATCTGTTGTATATTATGATCAAAATAATAGTTGATAAATTAAATTAAAATCATATTTACTGACATATAAAAGCGCAGAAATGTATAAAATTAATGTTTGTTGAATAGTGTATCGATCGTTTTACGCAATATGTAAATTTCAACACGTTTGCTTTATTCTATTATTCGGACTGGATTGATAACTTATATCAAGTTCATTAAATTGGGCCGTTGTGACAGGATACATCGAGAGATAAAAATGATATTCCCCATTTTATTTGATCGCGTCGTCGAGTTTTGCATTAACAATAATGTGTCAAATATACAATAAAAAGCAGTCTCTTGTTCTTATATAGAAGAAGTTTTTATTATTTGTGATTGCCTTGTTAAAGCGACGTACACGTTTACTCGATAGGTCATTGAATTTAATTATTACACACATTGTGTTCCTAGTATCGCAGTTTCACATAACGGTTTAGTCACATAATTTAATATTTATACTTGTAGAGATATGAAAAATTTTATTTCAATAAACTCTTTATTTAATATAATTACAATTATTAATATCGCGCTATTTTTATAAATTGTAATTCTCGAATCTGCATTATTAATAATCCGAACTTTTATCCTCATATTGATGGAAATCGCATTGATTAAATCTTTTAATAGCATAGAATTAATTGTGACATTTATTCGATGAATATAATACAAGAGATAAAGATTTTTAATTATGTTAAATGCGCGCGTGACATATAGATTTTACACACATATATAATAATTAATTGTATTATATATCGTACAATTATATTCTTTGTCTTACCTGAAATCTGGCTCGACCTGTGGGTGGTTCCCCAAATCTGATTCCGCGAAAGGTGTAGAATCCTTTGTCAGGATCGCGATTACCGATAATACGTGCGTGTCGATCATTTTTATTCACAAAAACTACCGGATCGTCCTTGGGTGGCTGCGCAGCCGCGATACCGCCAACAATTCTCTTTTTTCTAATTAGATCTGCATCTCTCGCGTCAATTAACGAGCAAAGTAAAAGAACGAAAAACAAGCTGATGCATCCATCCATTTCGAACGTATGAGTTGAAATGAAAGAACTATCGCGAGTCTCTCGTCGATGTGAATTAATTTGGTGGGGATATATGTTATATATCACAGTTTTCGCGATTTTTTGCGGGAAAATGACTGAAAAATCCTTTCTTCGTATGTTATTAGTGTCTGTAAATTTTATATGTTTAACATTTTAGCATTTGTCGCTTTTTGTGCATAAGTATAATATAAAGTTTTAGATTCTTCTTCTTCTATAGGAGAAAATAATTGAAAATAAAACAATTAAAGTTTTATAATAAAAACGTCAGATTTTATAATAAAAAGATTATTAAAATAATTTAATCTTGAACATTAAAAAGTTATATATATATTATATTATTTATTATATATATTATTTAACTCATATACTTTACTTATTAATTTATGTTTATTACAATGTAACTCGTAAAAATATATTATCGAAATGTAATATATGTCAAAGTATAAATCCATTATTTAAATATGAAGTTGTTATGTTGAACGAGCAGCAGGTTTAATTTAAGTATCATATTTTGGCGGGTTGATTACGCGATCAAGGATGCGTTCAGAAATCTTACCCGTGGGGTAGAGAAGCATTTGATTGATCAATCAGAATAAAGAGCTCCTTGCTCCGTTTGTCCTGATTGGTCAATTAGATCTCACGAATGGATTTCCGAACGCACTCCAAGCGAAGTACAGTAGTGTCCCCAACCACGATCAGCCGACTTCCGCTTTTGCCTTTCTCTGTTTGATGTCGGCTCTTTCGGTACGTGTGTAAGATTTCGCTGGCGTAAAATATCCATTTTAATTTACGCGTATGAAACGAATCCACTAAAAAAAATTTTCAAATACGTTCTCTATGTTATTTGCGCATAAGATGTTCTCGATATTTTTGCAAATCGGAAAATATTAGATTTGTATTTTGAGCGTCACTTTGAGGTTAACATGCGCCAGCAGAAATATGTAACGTGATAGTGTTGTATGTATAACAAGTATTAGGCATGATACCGTGATTTCTTTCCAGATTTTGAGCCATGGGTCGGGTAATTCGTGCGCAGCGTAAAGGTGCGGGATCCGTCTTCCGATATCATACCAAAAGGAGGAAGGGAGCACCAAAGCTTCGTTCTCTGGACTATTCTGAAAGGCATGGATTTATCAAGGGTGTTGTAAAGGTTTGTAACAATTTTCTATTCTACTATAAATTAATGCTAAACCAACTTTAGTGAGGTATATTAGGGTGACTTTATGGTTTTGGTTCAGTTTGCTATGAATTATTTAACTTTGTATTTGTGATGATATTAGTATACCTACATCTGATTGATTAAATGACGTCAAATCAGAGGCTCTTTCTGAGGATATAATTTCTCTTATTTCGAAAATGTTCTTTTAATCACAGATATTTAACATCTATTGTTTTTCTTTGTTGTTAGGACATTATCCATGATCCTGGTCGCGGTGCACCATTAGCAATGGTACATTTCCGTGATCCTTATAAATTTAAAACACGTAAAGAATTATTCATTGCGCCAGAAGGAATGTACACTGGCCAATTTTTGTATTGTGGAAAGAAAGGTATGATAATTTTTACAACAAATAACATCAAATAGTGATATTTAATATATCTCATATGCATATATGCATATAAATGTATATATCTCATATGCATTGCATATTTCTCATATATCTTTTTGAATTTTTTAGCCAATCTCCAAATTGGAAATGTGATGCCAGTCGGTATGATGCCTGAGGGTACTATCGTCTGTAATTTAGAAGAGAAGACTGGCGATAGAGGTCGATTGGCCAGAGCTTCTGGCAATTATGCTACAGTGATAACTCACAATCCTGACACCAAGAAAACTAGGGTTAAGTTACCTTCTGGTGCGAAGAAAGTCATTCCTTCTAATAACAGAGCGATGGTTGGAATCGTTGCTGGTGGTGGACGTATAGATAAGCCTATACTGAAAGCTGGCAGAGCGTATCACAAATACAAGGCAAAGAGGAATTGCTGGCCTAAGGTACATTTTCTGATTTTATCCATTTTCTTTATTATACAATAATAATGAAATCTAATTTTTTGTTATGATGGTAATTATGACATTTGAAACCTGAAGAATTTCATGTAGAAATTTTTTTGACTGAACAATGTAAACTCGTTTTTATATTTAATTTAAAGTCTATACACTGTCTGAGATGCTTTTAATTTTTCTAGGTTCGTGGTGTTGCTATGAATCCCGTGGAACATCCTCACGGTGGTGGTAACCATCAACACATTGGTAAAGCATCTACTGTCAAGCGTGGAACCAGCGCTGGTCGTAAGATCGGTCTTATTGCTGCTCGTCGTACTGGACGAATCAGAGGAGGCAAGACCGACACGAAGAAGGATGATTAGAAATAAATTGTCAGAAATTTTGTCACACATGTACAATAAAAAAAGAAAAATACCTACAAAAATGTATTTATCGTATACTCGAAAAAACTTTACGAATTCAAATTTTGAAAAATGGCGACTGAATTGAAAACTGAAGTAAAACGAAACTTGTTCGGAAAATTAATTTTATTCCTAAATTTTTAATTAAATTGCATAATTTTCAAAAACGTAAAATTTCAATATTAATTTTATAATTTTAATTTTAAATGTGCAGATACATTTATAATGCAACTTCTTTTTAAATTAATTAAAAAAAGAATTAATTTGCGATATATTTATATCTTTTAAGTTCAATTCAGTAAATTCTTTTTGGTGTATAATTTTAATTAATATCACATTTTATATGTGCAAACTATTGATATATATGACGTTTGGTAATATATATATATCTGAATTTGGATATGTAAGTATATTTTGATTCTTATATAAATATTATTTCTTATATAAAAGATAAATACTTAAATATATATATATATATAATCATCCTTTCCTATATAGATGGTATTCTTATCTGTATCACGAAAAAAACTATATAATATTTTTACACAATATAAAAAAAAATAGAGTATATAGTCCCGATTTCAAATTCTGAATTATAGCATCGAAATCATAATATTACTTTATAAACGATCAACAATTATTAACTTATTAATTTCCTCTACTCATATATGACAGTATAAATATATATAATGAATAATACATTCCTAACGTAAATTTCTAAGTATATACATATATATTAAACATCAGGATAATATAAAATCGGGACGTATTTTCTCCCAGATATTTCCCGTCTGCTTGTTACTTTGATATCCGGCGGAAGCGCCACTATTTCTACCAATTTGCCACCATTTTGCTAGCTCGTGTCTCGGCCATTTTTGTTGCGTCGACATCAGTGTGCGGCCAGGGGCCTCTCGCGCTTTCCTAGCATACAGTTTAGCCATTTATCTTTGGATTTTCTCCGCATCGCGTGTATCGAGGGACTGATCCGACACGTGCCGTTTTTCGGTTAATCGATAAAAGCCGTCGGCCGTCACGAAATCGTTGGCGAGCGTAAATCAAGTCCGCGAGACAACAAAGACAGAGGTAGCGCGTTGGGACGCGTCGGGAACTTTTTCGGCTCAAGTGAAGCGCGTGTGTGTGTGTGTTAGAGAGGACGAGAGCTAAAAGGGCTTCAAGCGACAGAGCTGCGAAAACTACGCACCGAGGCAGAGTAATATGAGTAATGCAGCCAACCAGAATGGATCAGGTCTAGAGCAGCAGGTAAAAGGCAGAAAAGAGAGAGAATCGTATCTCATTCTCGCCGCTTGCGAGAAGCTATTTCCGCAAGTCCTTTTTCCTTCCTCTCTCCATTTTTTTTTCTTTCTCTGATTTTTCACGTCTCCACGGCGTTCCCTAACGATTCTCAAAATTTGTTCTTTTCGCGAAATTTCGCAAGCGAAATGCTTGTTTTCGGGAAGAATATACGTGGAGAGAAAGAGAAAGATATTTCCTTTATCCGATCGAAGAAACGTCCCTTTGCCACGAGCATGATGGGCCGTCGTCACTCGGACAGCTCGTGACGTATGCTACGTATAATGGCGGCAACGATTCCAGGAACGGCATGTCGTGTGTCATGACGTATTCGCGTTCTCTGTATTTTTTTAACGTGCGTTAATTCTCACAATTGGAGCGCGCGAGTTATATATGAAACGGTGGGATTTTTTTCGCGGCACCTACCGAAGAAAATGAGTCATCGGTGTTCGGATGATAATGACTTTTTTGCATGGCATACATTTTAATACTTTATATTTGCGATGTTATGATGAAATATTTAACGTGAGCTTTTTTTTGTCTCTTTAGTTAGCTGGTCTGGACTTGCAGGGCTCCCGCCAGGGTCGCTACGTTCCACCGCATCTTCGTCATAAAACTGCAAGTTAGTATCAAAATTTTCCAGACATCTAATTTATAAGTTAAATTAAGGAAAAATTGTTTCTTTTTTTTGTATTTTGTAATAAATATATTACTTATTTATTGCTCATGGTATCCCCATTGTGAAATACTAAATGACAATAATAGCATAATAAATTAATAAGTTGAAAAGATTGAGTCGCAGAGCTGATAAGTGTATTTTAGTCAGTGTACTGTGTCTCAGTCTCTTAATTTATGAAATAAAAATACTTTATCGTTGCTATAGAAAAAAAATGCTTAAACATTTATATAAATTAACTCTTTTTACCAGGTAATCCACCTGCAGATTTAAATTACTCTTCCAACGCAAGACCGTTTAGCGACAGAGACAGAGGTGGAGATCGCGATCGAGAAAGGGACCGAGATAGGGGTAGAGGTGGTGCTTATCGAGAGTCACGAAGTCCTCGCGACGTCGATTTCGCGAACTTTGGGAGCTTCGGCGGGCGCAGCAGGCGCAGTCAGGAAAATGGAAGGGATTTCAGATATCCCAATTCTGAGCGCGATCGAGCAATTAGTGGTAATGATCGCTGGCAGGAGCCTACTAGAAATGATCGCTGGCAAGAGAATAGAACTGATAGGATGGGAAGTAGTAGCGGAAGATGGGGCGACGATAGAGGTGGCAGGGGCGGAAGAAGCGAGGTCGACTGGACGATTCCGACTGCCAAGGATGAACGATTGGAGTTGGAGCTGTTTGGTACTGGCAATACTGGGATTAATTTTAGCAAATACGAGGATATCCCAGTTGAGGCTACCGGAGAAAACATACCGCCACACATCACATCTGTGAGTATAATATATGGAAGATGTCTTTCGATACTAATAACTTTTTCTAACAAGTTCTAATTTGACTGCTCTCTATTTTTCAGTTTGATGAGGTTAAGCTGACAGAGATAATAAAGAATAGCATCGCCTTGACAGGATATGACAAGCCTACACCAGTGCAGAAATACGCGATACCGATCATCATCGGGCGCCGTGACGTGATGGCCTGCGCTCAAACTGGGTCCGGAAAAACAGCGGCCTTCCTAGTGCCAATATTGAATCAAATTTACGAGAGTGGGCCGCGACCGCCACCAGCACAGGCGAATTCCTCTGGTAGACGTAAACAGTATCCGTTGGGTCTAGTATTGGCTCCCACGAGGGAACTCGCTACGCAGATATACGACGAGGCGCGGAAATTCGCGTACCGATCGCGTATGCGTCCCGCGGTCGTATACGGCGGTTCCAATATAGTAGAGCAAATGCGCGAATTAGATCGCGGTTGCCATTTACTTGTGGCGACGCCGGGACGTCTAGTGGACATGTTGGGACGCGGTAAAATCGGCTTACACAATTGCCGGTAAGACATGTGATAGAATAAGAATCGACTAAAGGACGACGATGATTATATCTTTATTTGTCATTCTTATTTCAGTTATTTGGTTCTGGACGAGGCAGATCGCATGCTGGACATGGGTTTTGAGCCGCAAATAAGACGCATCGTCCAAGAAGACAACATGCCACCCACTGGAGAGAGACAGACTCTCATGTTCTCTGCTACTTTTCCAAAAGAGATTCAGATGTTGGCCAGAGATTTTCTTAGCAATTACATTTTCTTGGCTGTTGGTCGGGTGGGTTCGACCTCCGAGAATATTACGCAAAAAATTGTATGGGTGGAGGAACATGACAAACGTTCATACTTGCTTGATTTGTTACAAGCGAACAACTTTTCGGATGCTTGTGAGTTGCAATATTGAATATATTACGATTTAAATTAATATAGAATTGTTCATTATAAGAATTTATAATTGACAAATTATATTCCATTATATACTAAAAAAGGAAGTTATTAACGTTATACTTTTATTATCGTGCAGCCGCAGAGTCACTTACTTTAGTGTTTGTGGAGACAAAGAAAGGAGCCGATATGCTTGAAGAATATTTGGCCTCAATGGGATATCCAGTCACTAGTATTCATGGCGACAGAACCCAACGCGAACGAGAGGAAGCCTTGCGTCGTTTCCGCGCGGGCAAAGCGCCGATTCTGGTCGCAACTGCAGTGGCAGCGCGTGGTCTCGATATACCACATGTTAAACACGTCATCAATTTTGATTTGCCTGGTGACGTTGAGGAATATGTTCATCGCATCGGCCGTACTGGTCGTATGGGCAATTTAGGTTTGTTTTTTTTTTTGTTTTTTTGTTTTTTAATTAAATTTCTTAAGAGAAGGTTATGGGTTATCGAAAAATGGATAAGCTATACATAGCATCTTATTTTGTGTAATTTAGGTTTGGCCACTTCGTTCTTCAATCATAAAAATCATAATCTGATACGCGACTTGGTGTCTCTGCTTATCGAAGCCAATCAAGAACTTCCACCCTGGCTGGATGACATGTATACCGAAGCTAGATATTCTGGAAGCGCTGGGACTCGACGTCCCACCAACACCAAAGGACGTTTCAGTGGTGGCGGTTTTGGTGCAAGAGATTATCGTCAACAACCCAGTTCTGCATCTGGTCGTAGTAATGGACCCTCTAGACCTGGCGGTTATGGAGGTAAATTAAAAAATTGTGATTAATAAAATATATTTAAAATAAAATAAAATATCAAACAACTGCATTTGTAAGAAACAATTATTAAAATGGTTGCAAATTTGAACAGGTTTTATATTCTATATTTAAATATACGTTTCTTTCATTTTGTTACAGGTGGTTATTCAAGTTACGGAGGTAATTATAATTCATCGTACAATAATTCCACTAACAATGGCAATAGTGGCCCTGATTGGTGGGGAGGATGGGACAAGTAGACGATTATTTCCATCTCTATTTCTACTTCTATCATTATTATTATTATTATTACTCTACACGCAAATTCAATTATATGTAAGGAAAACACACGACATTATTACGTCTGACACTACAAGCACGTGTTTTGCGCGCGTTATACATATGCGCAAAGTACAGACAGTTTCATGTATAATACATATTCACGTTTTTGCTAACTGCCTGTGCACATCGATTTTTCGATGAAAAAGCAGAAAAAGAATACTTATATTTTAAATTTCCACTATATTACATTTGTTTATGCGCAACATTGTGACAAATCCTGTGTGCAATTTAGTATTCGTACCGGTGGATCACCGGGGAATATCTCGAACGTAAATGATCTCACCATACAAAAATGCGAGTATCATAAATGGGATTTGTTCAACACTATTAGTTAGAGATCCATCTAACATTTCGTTGCCGTGCGTGCTGAGAAATACACGTAGTATATAATCACTAACGAATCAAATCGATAAATCGTTAATGCCTGTTCGAAGGTAATAACGATGTAACACATAGTAGGTGGTGAAACTTAGTAAAATTTTTTAGAACTCCTGTCGAGACTATATGGGGCTCATTGTAGCTTTATTATTTTCTTTTTTTTTTCTTTTTCTCATAGGGGTGCGGTGGGCATATCTTCGGTCTGTCAATGCTCGACACTATTGCAAAACGTTTTATAATAAACGCTTTTTATTGTCTTTGCTATTATAATGGCCAGTAGAAGAGTCGCGCAGTTTTCTTTGAATGCATGACATAATATTTTGGTTACATATATGCACGTTCAGTAAATGCCTAGGATATGCCGAATCACCGTCACCACCATAGATTACATGACGATTCCTTATTATTATTTTTTTTTCTTAATTTACTGTGTAGTTCAGCGACGAATGGTACTTTGTTGTTTTGCCGTCCCCAGAGACAGATGTTGCGCCGGCAATATCATAAGTTTTAATTGAATAAGCCACGTGAATTTTTCGGGGATCGAGAGTTTCGGTATCGGCGAAAAAATGGCAATACACATACACAGGCTACGTCTTAAGATACTTTTAGAAATCTTACATTTTTGTTATAGTCTGATATATGTACACACACTCTCTATCAATTATAATTTAGTAAATTTCAAGACGCTTATGCAATTTACAGCTAATAAAGTTATTTTGATAACTTTGGCTATTGCAGTGGAACCTCGATATGCACGACATTTATATAATCTAACTTATAAACGCAAGAGAGTTTTTCCATTTCTCAATTGTCATAACAAAATATAAGTTTTATTTATATAAAAAAATAATTTTGTTTACATACAATTTTCTTTTTATTGCCATCTATTTCAGTTGCGTACATTCAAGTAAGCACTATAAATGATGAAAAAATTCTTTTTAAGGTTCCTAGTCTCTTATGATATACTAGTTTATATTGAATTATGAAGAAGTGAAAAATCATACGAGTTTTTTTCTTGTGAAATACATTGAAATACATAAGTTTTTTGAATATCGTCACTCATATTCGATAATATAGATCAGTAAAATATGAAAACTCCTTTTTGTTATCTTGCATTAATAAATGCATGTATATAACTTATCCATACATGTTCTACATTTTCAGCAAAAATGGATCTTACGACGACTCAAGATTTATAGTTATTTATTAATTCACGAATTAAAAAGAGAGGTTTCAATGTATTTACTAATCAATATTATCAAACACGAATATGGTTGCTCTCTGATATCATAATTCAATATAGCTGCAGTGAGGATACACAGGAGCCTTAATCAAAAATATTAAAAAGATTAAAAAGAGAAAAAATATACAATATGGAGGTTTCACTGTATAAGAACGGCTAAATATGTATGTTTTAGTGGAAAGCAGGTATATATAAATATTTTATGTACCTGAACTGTCTTGAGTAGTTCTACAGACAGAACTGCGTTGATCCTACATAGAACTGTGCTTCGAACAGCATTTCTAAATGTAACGGAGACGTTGCCCTGCGAAATTGGTACGGCGCTTTATAAAAAATCTTAGTCTACAATACACACACCGAGTGTGAATGTGTGAGAGTGCTCATGAAAGATAAATTATATTGAGACGGGTTAAAAATACGGTTGCAGTTACAGAGGGGTATTAAAACCTGCTATAATAGCAAAGAGGAAGAGATAGTGGGCTCAACTTTATTACAAAAAAAAAAAAGGAAAGAAAACAAACGAAAGCCCCTTGAATAAGGAGATACACGGGGCGCACTCATATTATTTTCTAGCTGTATTTATCAGTATGATATACGCGCTATATATAAATACATACAACTAAAATAATTGAAAAAACGACTGTGATATCGAACGATCTTGTGACATTCAATTTCCACGCGAATTGATAAATGTGAACAATTAACGGAATAACAAAATGCATTAAATGTATTACATTAATCAGGTATTGAATGTCGGGAAGGTACTAGCTCAGTTTGAACTGAGAACGGAATATTAAGTCGTTAACAGTAACACACACAAGACAACGTGGCTGTTGTCCGATCAGGGGAGGGCTGAACGCTAGGCTCTTGCGGTCTCAAGGGACCTTCCTAGGGCATTGTTTCTGCTTAAAATAATGCGCATTATAATGATATATAGATGAGCTCGAGCGAGAGTCATTACCGATTGATAATGATGGTGTTGGTAGGGCTTTATAGGATGTCGATATCGTTTTGTGCAAACGTCGGATTCTTATCTATCTAATCTACCGCGCGAGAGGGGGGGGGGGGGGGGGAAAAAAAAGATTTTTAGACACACGTCATACTTATATCTGTTATATTACTAGATTTAATAGTGCAATCGCGTGCGTGAATCGTATGCCGTGTGACCGTGGACCAAGGTGTGTGAATGCCTCTTTTTACGAGAGGGGTCGATAATTATTTCATCTAGAACCATTCGAGGATAGCGTTTAACGAGGTAAAATATCGTTGGCTTCCGACCGCGGGTGCGAGTGTTCCCAAAATTTTTAATACGATTCGTCATCGAGGCTATTTGGTCAGCTCTCGGAGGCCCTGCCAAGAACATTACTAAAAGAGAATCCTTCGTGGACATTGATACGTCAATTCGACGACACTTCTCGTGTCGTGTCGTGCAGATATCTGTCTACAACGGCAATAATCTTTGTATGATTTATCAATCGACACAGATTTTGCCATACACATATGTATCATTTCGCAAGAAAATTTACATCGGTTCCGAGACTGGTATTACATACGCAAGCCTTTGCATCTCTTTTTTTCTATTTTATTTCGTATTATTTTATAAAGTGACAAAAGAAGAGGAAAAGGCATCAATGGTCGTTGGATTTTAATGAATCATATTGCATACATGGTACGAATTTCAAGGAAAGAGTAAATTTCACAAAAACTTATTTGTAAGCAGATAAAGATTATATATGATAATAGATCAAATTTAATGTTACACGTAGACCTGATATCATTTTATAATTAATCCTTGGATGCATAAGAAAGGTTTTCACGATCTTGCAGTTTCTCTTTACCTTTTTATTATATTTATTTCTTATTTCTTCAATTTAATCTTTGTTCTTTTTAAATAATTTTTAGCGAAACTTATAGCTTTAGAGCTTCTATATTTAATTCGAACTTATATTGAAATTATTTTTGCAAACCTTTATCAGGTCGTGCATCCAAGGGTTAAGATCCAATTGTACTACTGATGCATTAAGCATTCGTGACGCGTCGCGCGTTACGTGTTTTAATCAATAATATGCATTTCGAAACAATATATTTTTTTTTTTATAACTAACATGGTGGACAAAGAGCATATAGAAAAGTATGTATACTTATAATTATATATACTTAAGGCTATTTCCATATTAATGTTTTCTATTTTTTTTTTTTTTTTTTTTTTTTTTTTTTTTTTCAAAGTGATAATGATGTTGATCACACATCGATAGAAAAACTTTCGCTTTATATTTATATTATTGTAAATCTTAGGACGCGTAATGTCAAACACACTTAGGGAATCGTTAAACGTTCCTGCGAGATAGTCAATGTCCACCGTGTAGTAACTATAACATATGTGTAAATTAAAAATATGGTACTATGATTTATATAGCGTATTAGTATACATTTAGCGGGGAGGGGGGGGGGGGGGG